CATCATCATCATCATCATCGTCATCATCGTCATCATCATCATCATCAAGATCATCGTCATCATCGTCATCATCATCATCGTCATCATCGTCGTCATCATCGTCATCATCAAAGTCATCGTCATCATCATCATCGTCATCATCATCATCGTCATCATCATCTTGTTCATTGTTATTATTATCATCACCACCGTCATCGTCATCATTACAACATCCGCCATATCATCTTCTTCATTACCATCATCATCACCGTCATATCATTATCATCATTATCACACCACCACCACCTTCATCATCATCATCATCATTATCATCAACAACAACCTCATCACTCTATTTATCACTATCAACATCACCATCACCACCACCGTCATATCATTATCATCATCACACCATCATCATCGTCGTCGTCTTCAACAGCATCATCATCATCATCATCATCAATAACAACGACAGCAGCGACATCAGCGGCAATTAACCTTCATAATGCAACATGAAGTTAGGCAGCTTCCTCAGGTAGGTGCCATCAATCATTTGCACGATGACGTCATTTCCGCCATCTTCACTCGCGTACAACACTTTGTGTTCATGCTGCTTCGACGTACACAGCGTCATGGTTTTGTTGTAGTTGTTGATGTTGTAGTTGTAGTTGTTGATGTTGTAGTTGTTGATGTTGTTGATGTTGTTATAGTTGTTGTTGTTGTTGATGTTGATGCGCGTGCTATCTCGACTGGCCATCTTCGAATAGTTGTGCCGGAAGTTGTATTGATGGCGCTGTTGCTGGTGTGTAGAAATCCCTCGACATCATCATCATCGTCGTCGTTGTCATCAGCACCACCTGCAGCATCACCAGCACCACCATCTCCATCCTCAACATCGCCTCCCCCCCTCCACACACTCCCCACTTCGTAGCACACCGACTCCTCACGTGACGCATTGCCTACGTCATCAGTGACGTCATCAAATCCGCCGTCATTATCATCTTCTTTATGCTTGAACTGAGAATGTTGAGACAAATTAGACAATTAAAGTGGAATTATGTATAGAAGACTGTATGTGTATGTGGGGTTGTGTGTGCTTGTGTGCGTGTGCGTGTGTATGTGTGTGTGTGCGTGTGTGTATGTATGTATGTATGTGTGCGTGTGTGTGTGTGTGTGTGTGTGTGTGTGTGTGGGTGTGTGTGTGTGGTGTGTGGTGAAATATTTATTTATACAACCCACACAAACAACTCATGAAGTTACATCAGATATAAATACTTTGTGAGAATGTTTTTTCCCTCTGGAGTTGTAGTTTCCATCATCATCATCATTCTCATCCTCACTATCATTACCATGTTCGCCATCATCATCATCATCACCATCTTTCTTGTTCACTGCTTTCTTCTTGGAGTTGCCGCCAAAAAACACGAGCGTTATTTTGACCACTCTCCCACTTCCGGCAACAATCCTGTAGGGCTGTCTCCACGTGCCAACATGGCTGTCAATGGATGTCTGCTTTGAGATGTAGCCGTACGGGAAGGAGAGTTGCAGATGACTCATGTGGGAGGTTGTGGCGGGGTTCCCGGTTTCAACTGCATGGCGGGTTGTTTCGATTTTTGTGATAATAATGAAGAATACGATAATGACGACTATGACAATGTTGGCAACATCAGATATGTTGACGGTGATAAAATTAAAATAAAAATTTATAGAGAGGATAGAGCAACATCCTTTCAAACACCAACGACATAGCACACAACATGTGACTAATTTTTGGCTAACTTTTGACTAACATGTAACTAGCAATTAGAAATCTTTTTCGTTAAAAGATATTACAACATCACATCAGCCTTCTTAGCAAGAGAATGACAAAAACGCATCAGTAAGCAAGATCTCACGTCACCAGCACATTGTTTCAATGAAACAACATTGTTTAAGTCCAACAATGTTTATCTTAGAAAACACAAAAGCAAAATGAAAACGAAATGAACAACAACAACATCAACAATATCATAACAACAACAACATCCCAACAACAATAACCTAACAACAAATCAAATCAAATCTGCGTTTATTCAGCAAGGCTAGGAGACCAGAAGCAAATGCTTGTGAGGTCACCCTAAAAATAAACAAAATTAAACAAAATTAAACGAAATTAAACAAATTAAAATAAACAGGAATTAACTCACAATTAAACAGAAATAAAAACAAACAGGAATAAACAAGTTAACTTAAATCAACAATCAACTCTGGAAATACATAATAACAAAGGGTAAACAACTATGCATAAATACACAATTTAAATCAAGTTAGTGTGAAATGATTAAGTAAGATTAGCTGATTAACTGATGAGCGAAAAAGACCTAGAGAAGAACAGTCCCTTGGATCAACAGGCAGCACATTCCAAAGACGCATAGAACAAGACAAGGCAGAATTAAGAAAGAAGTTAGACCTACATTTGGGAAAATAAAAATCAGGAATAAAACGTAACGAAATTTGTCTAGTATTCTTATACAATGCTAATTGATCATAAAGAGATTGACAATAATTTAATTTAAATATTTTAAAAAATAGAAGTAATAAATGCAAAATATGTAACTGTTTTATATTTAGAATGTTAATTTTATAATTATCTGCAACATTAAGACATCAACAACAACAATATCACAACAACAACAACAATATCACAACAACAACTACTACTACATCACAACAACAACAACAACATCGAAACATCAACAACACCTCAACTAATCTACCAGACATCTTCAAACAAAATAATAAAAAAAAGACAATAAAAATAATAATAATAATAATAATACAGTCTGCAGACATGCGCGGAGCACAGACTCGCTTCTCCAACAGAAAATTAAAAGCAAGTGGCAACATGATAAAAATTTGATTGGGGGAATGAGGTCACAACAAAAATAATAATAATAAGAATAATAATAATAGTAAGAATAAGAATAATAATAATAATATTGATAATAATAATAATAACAATAATAATAATAATAATAATAAAATTAATAATAATAATAAATAATTAATAATAAAAATAAGAATAATGAGAATAATAAGAATAATAATAGTAACAATTGGAAGGTTTGAAGATAGGCGAACTTCTTATTCCTTACATATCAGGACTGCTAATAATATAATAATAATAATAAGAAGAAGAAGAAGAAGAAGAAGAAGAAGAGGAAGAGGAAAAAGAAAAAGAAGAAGAAGGAGAGGAAGAAGAAGAAGAATAAGAAGAAGAAAAACTGCTAATAATATAATAATAATAAGAAGAAGAAGAAGAAGAGGAAGGAAAAGAAGAAGAAGAAGAAAAAGAAGAAAAAGAAGAAAAAAAACAACAACAATGATAATAATAATAGAAACAATCGGAAGGTTTGAGGAGAGGCGAACTTCTGATTCCTTACATATCTGGACTGCTATCTGTCAGTCTGTGTTCATTCCTCCATACTTTCCTATATGTCTACGTATATCTTTATGAATGTTTACATCTATTACATACACGTATCTGTATATAAATATATATATTCCTATATAAACAAGATATATGCATGTTCATATATGTTTATATATATACATTTATATATCTATATGAATATAGATATATATATATATATATATATATATATATAGATAGATATAAAGGTGTGTATCTGAAAGGAAGAATGAATGATATATGCGTGTATTGATCGTTGTCTAGCCTCGTTACAGCCATGATTGATGTTCATTCATCCCTGAAACATTCACACGTGTATCTTCACATCCACACATACAACAAGTGTACACATCCATTCACGCATATACGACTTGCACATACATACGCACACAAACACATGAACATAAACATACGTACTCTGATGCATGCACGTATGATATATTCATTTTGTGCGTACCAATTCAAATAGCATTTTGCTATTAAACATGTTTGTGTGTATGTTTGTGGGTTTGTATGTGTTTGTCTGTATGTGTCTGTTTGTCTGTGGGTAGGTTTGTGTGTGGGTCTATGTGTGCATGTCTGTATTTATAACGTAACGGATTATGGCCTCAAACATCCAACATCATCACTTTGAAACACTTTACATTGCACAGCATCACATCAAGCCACATCACATTACATCAAATCAAGCCACATCACAATAACACCACATCGCATTACATTAACGCCCGAATTAATGTATCCTTGGCATTGTATTGCGTAATGAACATGAAATGTTTATTTGCACTTGGGAGTGCGTAAAAAATAATTAACAAACCAAGAGAAACAATAAAAAAGACAACAAATGCTGAAACATAAACAACAACAACAACTACTACTACAACGTAAACAACAACAACATCATCAACAACAACAACAAAACATCAACAACATTAACAGTTTCTTAAGAAATGAGCGAAGCAACAACTTTCAAAAATTGCCGCATGTCCAGTTAAATATTTCTTAATTAAATAAATCTACAAAAAAACCAACAATCTAATACTCTATACTTTTTTTTGTTATTGTTAAATTAATCATAAAAATGGAGATATACATATCTTTGGATACACGGAGATACACTTATATATTAAGAAACACACATTCACCCACTTCAAGCAGCTAACGACCTCTTTTAATGACAACAAAACAAAACAAAAACAGCAGCAACAACATCAACAACAACATTAACAACATCAACAACATCAACAACAACATCAACAACATCAACAACAACAACATCAACATATACATCAACAACACCAACAACAACAACATCATCAACGTTAACAACAGCTACACGAAGAACATCCACTTTCGAAATCTCAGTGATTCAAATTAAATTACATTTCTCGATGTGAGATCCCAATGTCACCGCAACATGATACATTATTTATATGTCTTCATCTCGGGTAACCTGTACATTTAGTATCTATATGGTATCTAGCTATACTATATACATATATATACATGCATAAATATTTTTTTTTTACCAACACATAATATATATATATATGCGTGTGTGTATGTGGGTGTGTACGTGTGTTCTGTACAAGAATGTGGGCGTTTTTTTCTTCCATGTTTGTTTTCTTTCATGGATATTCAAAAGGGATAACGCTAAAAAGACATTCGACGCACGCACACACATTCAACGCACGCACACACACGCACACACACACGTATATATATATATATATATATATATATATATATATATAGCGTTATACACTTGCAGATACACAAACATGTGCATACACAGTCACATACACCCACACGCACAGACAAACATGGACTGTATCGTCGAATCGACAAATTAAGTCAACGGTGAGTCCTCAGTGCTCTTTCCAAAGACGTTTGGCCGGTCAACATATCCAAACAACATCTGCTTTTGCAAGTCGTGCTGTAATATCGTCATCGAGAGTAGCGCTGCTGGAGATACAAAACCGATTAACAGAATTGAGACGCCAGTCGTCCGCCATCACATGGGCCATTGCCCACAACAAGACTGGATGGCTCTGATGCAAGACCTCAGTTTTTTCAGACTGACTGTAAGTCCAAATCTCTTATCTGCTATAGGGAAGCGGTTGAACAGCGTCTGACCAGTGCACAATCATCAGCAAACAGCAGGTCGCCAACAATTGAGATCTGCGTCGTGGACTTCGCCTGCAATCGCCTGATGTTTAAAACATCTCCATTCAAACGATAGCAGACTAGTATCTCTCACTTCCGTGACGAAATGCAGCTCGGAGCACCAATGAAAACTAGATAGTTGCTGAACAGCAATGGAGCCATAACACATCCTTGCTTGATTTCGTTTGCAACATCAAAACCCTGGGACCGACCGTTCAGCATTTTTAATTATTCAATCACACTCGATTTGATACTTTCATGTAAGGAACGAACACACACACTCACACACACACACACACACACACACACATTATTTATATATATATATATATATATATATAGCGTGCGTTTGTGACTCGTTTAAATTTGGGAAACGCTCAATTTATTCTAAGTTTTATTCTGGGAGAAAATAAATGCTCGCAAGATGTCGTTCGAAGTGGTTAGGATGGGATGATGATGATGATGATGAAGATGAAGTTGATGGTGAGGATGATGATGAAGAAGTTGATGATGAAGAAGATGAAGTTGATTGTGAGGATGACGGTAAAGAAGATGATGACGATGATGATGACGATGATGATGATGATGACTGCCACAGTGATGATAACAACAACAATGATGATGATGACGATAAAGTTTCATCAGCGTTGCGTAATAATAATTACTGTTACAGTGTTAAAAAAGAGTCATTTAGCAGTCAAGCAAGCATACAAACAGAATGTTGATATTTTACAGTAAATAAGAGTAATATCTGAATTGAAATATTAATGTTTGTTGATAGAAACTTGAAAAATTGATAAATCAACATGTGTTAGAATAATAATTCACAAGAGCAGAGTATAACAAAATTTCTCTTTAACAAAAGTTTCTTCTGTATGTATCTATGTGAAAGTATGTGTTTGTGTGAGTGTGTGCGTGTGTATTCGTTTTATGTGAGTGTGTGCGTGTGTATTCGTTTGTGTGCGTGTGCGTCAGTAGGTCAAAGTAGTCGCTTTTTAAACACTGATTGGGAATTGTTGAAAGTTTTTTTTTTCAAAGTTCAAAGTATTAAAAATTATTAAAAAATTAATTGTAAAACTTTCCTAATAAATTTTTCTACATCGTGTCCTTGCAGAATATTATTATTGTACCAGGGAAGTTTTATAACTTTAAATCAGAAAATAAAATGAAAAAAGCAACATAAAAACACTCAGCGTGGAGGGCGATGTTAGCCAGTGTAGAAATGGCAAATATTGACTGTCGGGAAGTGACCTCTGGCACTTTTAGCGGCACCTCATTAGTCGAGCGGCAATCAATTTATCTCCACCCCAATCGTGCATCACTCGCTCAAGCTGAAAAATGATTCATCAATCCACCAAACAGCAATCAATCAATCAATCCATCAATCAGCCAATCAATCCATCAATCAATCAGGCCACCATCAAGCCAAACCAATCAGTCATCCATTCAAAAAATCATCTAACCAATCCATCAAAACTCAAAAAAGTCAGCTAAAATGATGTCACCACCACTATCAGATTGTGTTCACCGTCTTATATCCTCAAATTGAAGAGTTACTTCTGCTCGCCTGTTCCTATGATCACTACATAAATTATTTATATTGTATCGAAATATTTTAATTCTCACAAATTATAAAAAAGGCAAGTATGTAAAGGAAAAAATTTCCAGATAATTTTTTTCAAACGTTTAAAAATTTTGCAAGCAATTTTTTATGACAAATGAGTGAATATTGAAAATCAGCAGAATGTAAGACAGTGCCACTTGCTGTTGAAGACTTCATGTCAAGAGTTGTAATGCAATCTTTCTAAGGATAGGTATGCGAATTTCCTGATGACATCAATCAAGTTGGTTGACATTATTTTATGAAAATTTCATCGTGAGAGCATCAAATGAAAGGAAGTGGACGATGAGGTTGATGATGCATAAATACATGGAACATCGTATAATAGAAATTTGTACGATTTGTACTATAATACTGAAACAAGTTTCAAAAATTTTGTTTTTAATTTTTATCTGTAATAAAATTAAAATTCAATAAATTGAAATGAATTTTTAAAAATTTTTTAAATAGTTTTAGTGAAATTGATAAAATAATAATAAATTTTTAGATATCATGCCACACAATTGTATCCACGATTGCATTAAACAGATGAACACTTCGTCATTTTAGAACGTACGCCCTCCAGCAACAAGCAAACAACACAAGCCACCACAAACAACTCTTTTATCATTTCATCATTCCACAACACTACCACATTACTACACCACCACAACACCAAGTCGCCACACCACACCACTTACTGGGAACGCATCGGTAGCTGACTTCCAGGTACGCATTCAGTTCGATCGGACATCTATTCAACCTGTGCAGCATTTGTTCAGCCACGTAAATTTTGCATCTGCTTTTCCCGCTACATCGACTGCTGACGTAATTTGTGACGTCATTACGGCAGCCGACATCGCCATACATGCCAGTGACGCAACGACTCACGCGCATTCTTCCGTAGGTGGCCTTCGTGATGACGACAACATTCGTGACGAGGTTGTTGTTGTTGTTGTTGACGTTGTTGAGGCTGTTGTTGCAAACTGCAATGAAGTATTCCGATTGGCAATAATCGCCCGTTATAATTGTGCTCGTCATTGAGTTGGCCGGCGAAGCTGAGAGTGAGCGAGGAGTGTAGTTGTTGTTATTGTTGTTGTTGTTGTTGTGATTGTTTTCATAAAAAATGTTGTTAGAAATGTTGGCAGCGGTGGCAATAATAAAATAGTTTTTGTTGTGGAAGTTTTCAGCTGGAATGAATAAACATTGAAGTAAATCACTGAAATGATTTAGCCAACGCAAACAAAAACTTGCGAATAAAGAACAGACACTCATATAACATCACGAACATATGCGCCCTGATGTACGCACAAACAAATCGTAAATTATTCGTTTTAATATTTGTCGTTGACTGAAATCTTCAATGAAATGATAAACAATACAAATCGCACTGCCCAGATGGACATTAATTTTTAATTGCAATCAATCAAATTTGGGCAGATCATTAACAAACCAACAAACAAAGAAACGCTGTCTGAAACATTACAGCCACACCCACGCGCGATGAAATGTAACAGTGAGTTTGAGTTTGTCGATCGATCGACTGGTGCATTACTGCAAGCATTTTATGAACTGACATTAACTTAATGAGTTTGTTTTTCATTGAAGATATCCCATTTGCTGGTGAAACTCAATGCAGTTATTGCAACTGATCTCATTTTAGATTTTCTCTGGATAGCTTTTCCTTGCTTTTCAAACGAATTTAGTTCGCGTTTTGCACAAAAGTTGAAGGAAACAGTTGAAGAAAAGTAGATGGAGACAGATGAAAAAAAAAGTTGGAAAGTTGCATGAATGAATGTCAAATCAAATAAACTGTTGAACATTTTCAGTATAAAAAATTATTACATTCTCAACTTTGTCTTTCTAATATTTTCAACAGATGCTGATGTAAAAGGTTAAAGGTTTATTACACTCTTCTCAATATTTAGTCCTGCTAGCAGAAGTGCAGCGATTAAAAATTAGATCCAAATGACGAGCAGGTAAATTTTTTTCATCAACTTTTTATTTATTCACCTCTGCTGACTTCATGCTACAGAATCAAAATTTTTGTTCGGGTTGAATTAAAACGTCACCAAGCATCTTTAGAAGCTGATATAACTTACATCGTTGTGGCCTCTCAAACACATCAGTAGATCTAAAAAAGTTTCATTGAAAATTTCTGAAAGTCCAATATAAAAATTAGAAATTGAGAAATGAAAATTTTACGCCGAAACATTTTGGTTGAAATGATTTTTTAATCCTTTATTTGACTAAATTTTAAATGTTTACACATTTTTGCTAAAAATAATTTTGTTTAACAATTACCAAATAAATATTATTAAAAGACTGTTTTCAATCTTGTCTTAAATCAAGATTTGTTCCTCAATAGCAATATATAACCACTTAAGCCATCACAGTGTTCCAAACAATGTTTCAAAAAATGCTGCCCGTACAAGGAATTTACTGGCTAGAGACTTACGTGCAACACATAGGATTCTTGCGAAATATTAACAAATAAATGAAAAATCATCGTTTCTCAGATAAATAAAAATCTAAATGTATTTATAGTTTTTTGTCAATCATCCTTACCTGACAAAAATGTGCCAAAAAGAAGGGGCTACCACACCACACTTCAATGAATATGTTGTTTTCAAATTTTAGATTTGTTATCCTCATTAATGACCATTCCAGTCCCATCCTGCAGGCATGCTTTTAAGTATGAACAAAGAAAACTACACGAAGCATGTTGAAGCCTGGTTTGTGTCTCGGTGTTCCGTCTGATATCAATGCATTTCCGTTCATCCATCATTTCAAGTTCAACACATTGAAAGTCATTTTCAGTAGCACTCGAACGTATCAACACTGAAATTTGATTCACAACTTTTCAACAGTTTTAACGAAACTCACTTAACCTCATACCTTTTAACAGATGCCCACAGAAAAACTTGTTGTATATATTTTTTAAGCAAAATCTTAAAAACGGTGCCATAAAAGTTTTCACGTTAAAATTTTATCAAAATATTTCAGAAAATTATCTTGAGTAACGTAGAGAAAAATTATAAGAGAAATTTAGTTTTGATCCTTAAATTGCGTGAGACAGACTGGAAACGTGCATGGAGGTGCCCTTTCAAGACATCACGTGATGTTTGCAGGCTGCAGGAATATTGCCTTGCATTGTTTCGCAATAATTGGTCCACATTCAATAAATGCCAAAATGAAATGGCAAGTCAATCTTCCTTACTGTTTTGGTACGTCGCGATATACGTTTGTTTGTCGTTTGTGTGTGTGTGTGTGTTGTGTGTGTGTTAGTGTGTGTGTGTTTGTGTGTGTGTTTGTTTTGTGTGTTTGTTGGTGTTAAATTGTTTGTTTTGAAGCATGCATTATTGAGCGTTTGTATCAAATTTGACTGTGAGCTTATTTGGCGTGATTCTGAAACAATAATTATGAAATTAATTTTAAAACAAAGTTTCTACAATGAAGATGTCAATCAATGATTTATTTAAAAGTGTTTTCTTACATTTATATAGGATCATTAACTTGATTTGGAATGCAATTTATATTGTAAACTAATATTAAGGATGAAAAAAAATGATGATTTATATTGGGTTTGGAACTTGTGAAACTAATAATGAGTGAGCGTACATCAAGATAAAATAAAGAATAGTTTCATGTGATGAAGATGTTACAATTGATGACATCATGAACTGATGAGTCAAATCAGAAATGATGATAAGTATTCAATATAGTTTCAAATATTTTATAATGATGGTGATAAATATACTCATTGAATGATGTTGCTAAAATGATTTGATGATATACAAAATGATGTTATGATATACAATATGATGTTATGATATACAAAATGATGTTACGATATACAATATGATGTTATGATATACAAAATGATGTTATGATATACAAAGTGAGGTGATGATATACAAAATGAGATGATGACGACGTTGAGAACACGCAACTGGAAGCCATGGAAATGATGATGTAGGAAATGAAAGAAGGACGATGATAAGGATGAGGAGGAGGAGGAGTTGATGGATGAAGCATCCCTATGTTGTAGCAATACTGAAGCAACTGCATGATTTGTTCGCTGACAAAAAATATGTCGCCTGTTTATCACGCAAGCAGTTGAAAAAAAGAGGCTCATTTTCACAAAAATTGGAATAAATTCTTGCCACCAAATCAGTCAAAAATGTTTCAAAGTATTTTATGACAAAGAATTGAATCAAAATCATTAAACGTTACAGATGTTTGACAAATTACAGTTAAAAGTGTGTTTTTTCTTCATACAATATTTCCAACAGCTACAAATTAAAAGTTTTTAAAAGCTAATTAAGTGGGTATCTTGTAGATGAAAAATTTTTCATTTGGTGGCATTCAGTTAAAAATTTTAGAAACATGTTTTAACGATATAAGCTTTTTATGAAAATTTCAAAAAACATATTAGAATACAACCGGAAGGCTGCTAAAGTTACTGAGCTGTCAGATATATTCTACAATTTCAAATCAGCAACACAAAAATTTTTTCTAAAAAGTTGAAAAATAAATTTAATCTTTCGGAGAATTCGGTGAAGTTGCTATTGAATGCTACTAAGACCGACTGACCGTGTTACATTGGAGGCATGACATTACTGAATAAAATATGTAATTAGAAAAAAAATTAACCTTTTTTCAAATTTCAAAAAATTAAAATGCTGCAAAGAAATCTGTTCGCTACTTAAACGTGCGAATGAACATCAATCGATCGATCAATTAGTAGTAATGAAAACGTGGGCATCTTTTTAGCAAGTGCATTTGATTTGAAGGTCATTGTTGTCTGGCGTTAGAGGAGCCTTCGCAAGAGTAATAACATGTTGAAGTGTTGGACGCGAATGTTGGGAAGTCGCCGTTGATCTGGCGAGCGATGCTGCTCAGAAAAGGTTCTTAATATCTTTACAATTTTATAAGGAATGTTAAATACGCAGGTATGATTGTTGCAATCTAAGCACGCAGAGGTTAGTATTTTATTTTGCTTTAACTACATGCAAACATTCTACAAATGTTACAAATCAGCCAAAAACTATTTAAATAACAAGATTGAAAAGTCAAAGATTGAAGAAAAAAAAACAAAACGCCAACAAATTTTAAAAGCCACATACAAACCGCATACAAACTAAATACGAAACACATAAAAAAATATATACATAGCTACATTGGAAAGCTTGTGTCAAAGAGAACACATACACACACGCAAAACTTGACAAACAACATGCACAATTTTACAAACAACAAACACAACCTAACGAACAACACAAACACAGCGAAAAATTCTTCATTAATCATTCGCATTAAAAATTAATTTTAAAAAAAGAACACTGGACACGCACATATTAGCACGCTAACACAACTTAAAATGATATATCGCTTGCTACTAAACGTAAAAGCGCGCTGAAACTAAACGCTGGGACTAATTCTGCGGGGATTATTTGCATATTAAAAACTGAAGCGCTACGGATTAAAATAGAGACGTCGTTGCGTTAACGATTGCATTTGTTTATGCGTATCATGTTTGCGTTGGCTCGCCCGCTTTTGTTTTGTTTATTTGTACCGCTAGTCTGTCTTTGCTAGTTTCAGCATTAAAATGTACAGCACTCCTCGTAAACTTTCTACATTTCAGTTGTACGGTGTATTGGTTCAGTTGCAACTATTATGGACTTTGTATATTTTCAATATTCATCTCTGCTGGCTTATCATTTCGAATTGGGCAGTCTGTTGTTGAGATTTTCTTTTAATTAGTTTATTAAAAAAAAGTTGAATGTTGACTGGCATGTTTTCTGTCTGTTTTGGGCTATTTAAATCAGGATTTTCTTTATCTTTCATCCTCAACTTAACTTGAACTTCAAATGTTTATAGATAATTTAAACTTTGTAAGTAAAATCGTTTGTTTTGATTTTGAAACCGAAACAAAGAAATGGTTTGAAAAAATCAACAAAATTATTATCAAAATTACATCAAACAATAACTAGTTAATAGCAATTGTTAATTTCAATTTAAAAAAAAATTGCTTATAA